TGATTTTTACCAGATAAAAGTGTCAAAGATTTGTCAGTGCTTCAGAAAAGCAGGGGGCGGGGGGGTGGTGGTGTTGGGTCACTCTCTTATACTTACTGACTGGGCAGCATTAGGTGCACACTGCCTCAGGTGTCCTTTTTCCCAGAACAGGGACTCCTAGTCTGAGCAGCCCTGCTCTGACCTCTGACCTCTGCAAAGCCCCCTGACTAGAGGCCAACAGTGCCCGGGTCACTGAGCCTGTCTGGGTCATAGGCTCCTGAATATGTGAGGAAGGGTGATGGCACAGGCCTGCATATTCAGACAACCAACCAACCACCTGAGCTCAGGATCTTCCTCCCCAGGGTGGGAACTGCCTCTCAACTCTGCTGGTTCAGCCTTGCCTGGCCCACCCATCTTGGACTCTTGACTTTCTGTGGTTAAGATAACTTGAATACGTCCAGATTCTCTGGGGTCAGGTGGGTTTACTTATTTATTGTCACAGGGCTTTGAAGACTACCCAAGGAATCTTGAATTAAAACGAGAAACCCCATGCTAACTCCCACGTGAGGTGAGGTAAGCTGGGCACCTGTTCGGTGTCTCAATAGGGGGTTAATTAATGTCTCATTTTATGGGGATGTTATGCAGATAACACGAGCTGGTATGCAAGAAAGCACTTTCAGGAAGATCAAGAAATATGTAAGGACAATTTGTGTCACTATTTGCTATTTTTATTGGGGGTAGGAGGGGCCATATGATGTATTTGGAAAAGTATAACTTTTGGAACAAACAAGAATGAATTCTTGTTTTGCAACATACATGCTTTGTCTTTTTTTTTTTTTTTAAGGTTATTTATTTCAGAGAAAGAGAGAGAGTGGGGGGAGGAGAGTGAGGGGCAGAGGGAGAGAAAATCTCAAGCAGACTCCACACTGAGTGCGGAGCCCGACGGGGCTCAATCTCACAACCCCACGATCACAACCTGAGCTGAAACCAAGAGTCCGGTGCTCAAACAAGTGCACCACCCAGGTAGTTTTTGATGTTACAAAAATCTCTGTGAGACTGTTTCCTCATGTGTAAAATGGTGATAATGATACTTAATTTGGAGAATTGTTGTCAAAATTAGTGGCTACATGTATAAAGTTGTCCTTACCAAGTATCTAGCACACAGTAGGTCCTCAATAAATAGTAGCTGCCATTCCTGCTGTTAAACATAACAATGATAGCAATACAGATACCAAGTATTAATTCCCAACCTTTTCTCTCCTTTACTTCCTGCCCTTGCAGTGATGAGGGGGGAGCTCCTACTTGGATTCCTGGAACAGGGAGAAAGAAAACCATGCCCTCTGACTCATATGAGTGACCAACTCATCTCAGTTTGCCAGGACTCTCCTAGTTTTAGCACCAGGGATCCCAAGTCGCAGGGACCCCAGCAGCCCCAAATTGGGATGATTGACTACTCACCACCAACCTGGGTCCAACTATAAGCCATCTTCCAGTACCTAGGCTTAGAGTATTAAGATTTGTACTGGAAATCTGGGAGGACCTAGGAATACTATCAACTCAAAGAGCCAGTTTAAGTCCTTTTAGAACAGGTAGGGTCTAGATAAATAAATGAAAATAAAAAAATTAGTTCTGGCCTTAAAAGTCATTATGGTAGCTGTAAGCTACAAAAAATTAATTCTGAAGACCACATGTTATATGATACCATTCATATGAAATGTCTGGAATGGGTAAATCTATGGAGAAAGAAAGTAGCTTATTGGTTGTGGCGGGGTAAGAGGGGTGTAGGGAGTGCCTGCTAATGGGTGTAGAGTTTCTTTTTGGGATCATGAAAATGTTGATTGTGGTGATGGTTGCACAGCTCTGTAAATATACTAAAACCCACTGAACTATACACTATAAATATGTAATTATACATTTAAATTGTGATTTTATGGTATGTGAACTGGATCTCAATAAAGCTGCCAAATTAAAAAAACCAAAAATTTAAAACAATTTTTAATTTAAAAAAATGGTTCTTCCCGCATTAGAATCTCTAAGTCTAAATTATTCTTAACCCTCATTTTAAGAATTATCTTTTCAATGGCATAAAAACATTTAATCTAGGCCAGGAAATATCACCCCAATGTTGCAGAAAAGATGAGCAAGACCCATAGCAGAATGTAAAGAGTCTTTTGCTCAGTTCTATAGGAGGCCAGGGGAATTCAGGCAGGCAGGGAAATGGGAGGAGAGGAGAGGCTGGGGAGCCAGCACTTACAAAGGGAGAAAAGAGACTCACCCCTGATCCTGCAATATAAAGCAGAAGGAAATAATAAGCTAAACCGAGGCTTGTCCAAAATGCCACAGAAAGGAAGGAGAGTTCCGGAAAGGTTGCAAAGGGTAAGTGGGGAGGACATTCCAGTAGGCACAAGCTCTGAGATGTGAAAGTAGGTGGCCTGTGAGAGGTATGCAGGTGGTATCTGGGGTGTGTGGAAGGAGGGAGGGGACTTGGGACAGACTGTAGAGAGCATTGGACACAGCCCTTGCTTGGGAGTTGGATTTCATTCTGTGGACACTGGGGGGGCCCAGGGGAGGATTTTTAGGAAGTGAGTTCAGACCTGCAATGAGTCTCAGAAGCCATTTTACAGTGTGAGAGGTGGTGGGTCTTGATGAGGTCACCGAACTGGTTAGTGGCCAAACTGACTGCAGTACAAAGCCAGGGGCTCCGATGCCCGGCCTAACCTCTATTCCATTATACCAAGCTTCCTTTGTAGGTAATCTGCCCACCTTTTCTTCTCTCCATTTGTCTTCTCTAATTCTTCCCCCACGCTTTCCCTTGTACCCCTCCCCCCTCCGCGCTTCTCCCCCGCTTTGGGTGTGCCTGGGGTGTTCCTGCAGCCCACACAGGGTTGCTGAGCTCTGTTGCAGACTCAGGCCAGCCTAATACTTGCTTTTCAACCCCCTGGTGATCTGGGCAGTGCAGCCCCAGCAGAGAGGGGAAATGAGCAGGACGGGAAGGATGCCCAGCAGGAAGGCATGGAAGAAGGCAGAGCAAGGACAGACATATGGAAAAGGTAGCTATAGCCGCAGGTTCTGTGGCGCCCAGAAGGGGAGGATTCTCTTGGGGATGGGTGCCTGTGCATGGGCTGGGGAGGGGCACTCTGCTTGTCTGGTTTGAGCTACCTCAAGGACATGCTCTGTTAATTCACAGCACTTTTCCACAGAACCTACTAGAACTAGGTTAGGTGAGAGGTCCTGAGGGGGAGTATCCTGTCCAAAGGGCATCTTTGGAGGAGGGGCCTGCCTGACCCAAGCTGCAGTAGGCCGAAGTCTGTGGGTCCAAGCGCAAACTCTGGCACTGATTCTCAAGTAGGAGCTCCGGGAACATTTATCGAGCACCTCTGAATAGGCACTGTACAAGGTCCTGGGGCACAAAGATAAAGTCACTATCATCACCATCAATGGGCCACAAGCCCTGTAAACACACAAACGGAGGACTTACCTCCCAGGGCTGCAGTGAGATCACCAACAAACGATGTAGCGATACAGTGCACAAACTGTTCGCATAGTATATGCTGGAAAACAGCCCAAAGAGGCAAGGCTCAGGATGGGAAATAAAGTTAGGAGTATGGCGTGGTCCTAGCCCCGACTCTGCCGATCCTTGCTCTTAACTACAGTTTTCTCAACCTGGAGATCTGTCCAGTGCTTTCGATGTGCTGAGAACTCACTTCGGAATGCTTCTTAAAATAGATCCCTGAGTCCGATCCTAGCTTTCCTGAATCAGAATGGCTGGAGGCGGGATCCCAAATCTGCATTTTTACACGCACCTACCCCCTGGGGCAATTTCAAGCTTGGTAATCGACGCTACACTGTTTGAGAAGTACTCCTTAATTGGGAGATGATGACCTGCATCAGCCGGTAGGTCTGGTAAGCGATTCAAAAGCTAATAAGGGAACACGCGTGAAAGCCCCCTGTGAACCAGGGAGCAAACCAATTATTTGCAAATAATAGTAATCCCATAACCCAAATAACATCCAAAAATTCCACAAAATAATAATAGTAAAAGAACTGGAGAGCGCACTGCAAACGCGGCGCAGGCCGAGTGGGTACCACGGCCCGGGCCACTCAAGCGCAGTAGGCGTGACTGTCCCTTTAAGCGGTCCCCCACGCCCCTCCTTGCCCCCCTCGCCCCGC